TTCAGATGTCTTTTAAAAAACACACAGCTGTTTTATCTTTTTTGACATCTGCTGGGAAGGCATTCCATGAGGCGGGCACAACTACTGAAAAGGCCCTCTGCCTGGTTCCCTGTAAACTCACTTTTCGCATTGAGGGAACCACCAGAGCTGGATCTGGATCTCACTGTCTGGGCTAGACAATGGGGGGTGGAGATGCTGCTTCAGATATCCTGGGCTGAAGCCATTTAGGGCTTTAAAGGTCAGCACCAACCTTTTGAATTGTGCTCAGAAACATGTTGAATCAGAACAAATGGCAATTCAGGTTTCTTGTGGTTTCCAACTTCTCTGATTCAGCGGTAAAGAGCTGGTTTTCATAGGGAATGAGCGGGGGGGGGGGGGTGGCATAGTGTGGACGGTTGCCCCGGGCACAAAATTGTTAGGGATGCAAAATTTCAACACTTGGTGCTGCCTCAATACTGTTGTGTATTTCTGTCTCTGGGCTCTTTTGAAAACGGCTTCTCCATGTGAACCAGGAAGTGACTTCTCCAGACAACAGAACAACCCTTCTTTTTTTATGTCTGCGGCTGCGATCTTTTGGGTGATGCAGATGCCGTTAGGCAATTGCATGGGCACTCTGTCCACTTCCCACCCACCCCTCCGCATGGCCCCGGGCACTGACAACCCATGCTACACCACTGGGGGCAAAACAACAGCAGCAGCAACAACAACAAGAACACTCGTACAGTACATGGAACTTTAAAGCACAGCTCTGTTCCTAGAAACATGGCACAACAGGAAGCCCTCATGAGCCCTAAGATACTAATGTAAGGAATTTACGGCAGGTGAGAATTAAAACAGGACTCCTTGGTTCATAGCTTAGAAAGTATAGCATAATAAGAGAATTATGTGGATTTGATTGTTTAATTAGTTCTGCAAAAGAATGGCCCCACACAGCTGAACTCAGCCTACCAGCCATAATGCTTCTTAAACATCTTATTTTCCTGCCTCTCTGAAAGTGATAAAACATGGGCAGGCAAACTAAGGCATGGGGGCTGAATCCGGCCCAATCGCCTTCTAAATCCGGCCCGTGGACGGTCCAGGAATCAGTGTGTTTTTACACGAGTAGAATGTGTCCTTTTATTTAAAATGCATCTCTGGGTTATTTGTGGGGCATAGGAATTTGTTCATTTTTTTCCTCCAAAATACAGCCTGGCCCCCCCACAAGGTCCGAGGGACAGTGGACTGGCCCCCTGCTGAAAAAGTTTGCAGACCCCTGTGCTAAAATCATCTAATAGAATAACCACTAGGTGGCACTGCACATGAGAGGTTTTCTGTTCGAGCAAAGACATGAAGTCCAGTTGTGGTTTCACCTCAACAGAGTCCAGACTGCTAATTCCACATTGTAGGCCTATCTATCTATCTATCTATCTATCTATAGCTGAACCACATTTCTGTTAATCTCCTCGACTTCCTTTTCATAAAAAAATAATTAGGATACATCCAAGCATGGATTCATGCTAAATCTCATTCTAAATCTCCTTTTTTTAAAAAAGAAAGAAGAAAGAAAAAAAGAAAGAAAGAAAGAAAGAAAGAAAGAAAGAGGGAGGAATGACTTTCCTTTCTAAATTATGCCAGTGAAGAAGAAAAGCAATGTGTAAATGTGTGTGCAACTTGTGACTCAACAAATGGTCTATATTTGTGTGTGTGTGTGACTCAAGAAAAGGTCAGAGGGATTTGTGTTGCTCTTGTACCCATCCCTCGCACCAGGAATGAGACTGTGTGAATGCCAGAATGCAGCCCAAAGCAAAGCATAGGTTTGCTGTGGGAATGCTGACGCAGACTTTCTGTGCACACAGCTTCAGAAGCACACTGCTGTGTTATACAATAATTTAGAGAGCTTGAATTCATTTATGATTCTGTTGTTTTTAGCAGATTTTGCTCGAGCCTTGCTTTTTTGGGTGTGTGTGGGGGGAGGGCTTTGTTGTTTGTTTGTTTTGCCATTGCAGTGGAGACAGCAGAAAAAATAATAATCTCCTTTGTTCTTTTCCTCATTATAAAAATATTCCTCTGATACAAAGCATATTTTTTTTTATCGGGGGCCTCGTTTGGAGATTTAGGAGGGGCGAAAGGATGAGCAGGGAAAATGTTTGACTTAAATTACCTAAACACTAATGTGATATTAGGGAATTACAGTGGAATACTATATATGTCGACGCAGAAGTCAACTCGGCTGGACTTACTCCCTGGCAAATATGCACAGTGTGGCAACCTATTGCCACCTTTATTTTGCCTTGTTTGTGGGCACCCAAATTGTTTAGTGCATGGTACTGATAACACCCAGGTCACAGGTTTGATCCTCATTTTGGATATAACAACAACAACAACAGTTTATTATGTATACCCCGCCCATCTGGCTGGGTTTCCCCAGCCACTCTGGGCGGCTTCCAGCAAAATATTAAAATACAATAATTCATCAAATATTGCAAGCTTCCCTAAACAGGGCTGCCTTCAGATGTCTTCTAAAAGTCAGATAGTTGCTTATTTCCTTGACATCTGATGGGAGGGCATTCCACAGGGTGGAAGCCACCACCGAGAAGCCCCTCTACCTGGTTCCCTGTAACTTCACTTCTCACAGTGAGGGAACCGCCAGAAGGCCCTTGGAGCTGGACCTCAGTGTCCGGGCAGAATGATGGGGGTGGACAGTTGCATATTCCTCCATTGCAGGGGGTGGGACTAGGTGACCCTCGGGGTCCATTCTGACTCTGCAAGTCTACGATTCTATGATTCTATTTAGTGGGCAAGAACTTCAGCCACCCACAACATCACTGGACAGGTGTGGGCATACACGTGTGCCATTTGGGAACCACCTTCAATGTTTTATATTCATTTTCAAATGGACACACTCTAGGGCAGCGGTTCCCAACCTTTTTCTGGCCATGTTGCACCTAAGCATCTCTAAAATCCTGGTGCCCCCACCCATGACATATAATTCTTATTATTCAAAAAGGGAACTCCTATTCACATGGAGAGGGACGCGGGTGGCGCTGTGGGTTAAACCACAGAGCCTAGGACTTGCCGATCAGAAGGTTGGCGGTTCAAATCCCTGCGACAGGGTGAGCTCCCATTGCTCGGTCCCTGCTCCTGCCAACCTAGCAGTTCGAAAGCACGTCAAAGTGCAAGTAGATAAATAGGCACCGCTCCAGCGGGAAGGTAAGCAGAGTTTCTGTGTGCTACTCTGGTTCGCCAAAAGCGGCTTAGTCATGCTGGTCACATGACCCGGAAGCTGTACATCAGCTCCCTCGGCCAATAAAGAAAGATGAGTGCTGTAACCTCAGAGTCGGCCATGACTGGACCTAATGGTCAGGGGTCCCTTTACCTTTACCTTTATTCACGTGGAGGAAGCCTAAAAAGGCTATTCACTGTTAATAACTAATTCCTGAATTGCCCCCCTTGTGGAGCGTGTTCTCTAAGGTAACGGAGATTCGATCTAAAATGAGCTTTTATTTTCGGAACGAAAACAGTTTCCCAAGAGGCATTTTTCAGGATCCAAAGGAAATGCAATAGATCTGCATTGTGTGTTAACTATGTAGGGTGGGTGGGGAAGTATATTTCATTGATTATAGAATAAAATGTCTTGTGTGTGAAGCCTGTAATTCAGATGTGGATTTGAATGCATTCAAATCATGCTGAAGAAATCAAGCGGTCAACAAATATAGCCAAGAAAGATGGGAGGACACACAGCTATTTTGGTGTATTGACTCACCTACGGATAGATTGAACTATCCTGGCTGGTTGGAGCATATAGTTAACATGCCTCTGGTCTGAATTAGTTCAGAGTTCAGGTAGGAGCTGACACAATTAAACGTTTCCTCACACAATTACAGTGGTACCTCGGTTTAAGAACTTAATTTGTTCTGGAGGTCCATTCTTAACCTGAAACTGTTCTCAACCTGAAGCACCACTTTAGCTAATGGGGCCTCCTGCTGCCGCCACACCACCGGAGCCCAATTTCTGTTCTCATCCTGAAGCAAAGTTCTTAACCTGAAGCACTATTTCTGGGTTTCTGGGTGTGTAACCTGAAGCGTATGTAACCTGAAGCGTCTGTAACCCGAGGTACCACTGTAAAAGAAAAATGCCTCATATAGAAAACAAGCATGCTGCATAGATCTCTGCTTTAAGTATGCATTTTCTATGTGTATTTGTTTTGTTTGTTTGTTTGTTTGTTTGTTTGTTTGATATGCAGAAGTGACCTCCTCTCTCTCACCCACAATTTGAAGGGGTACATTGGGTGATGGCGCTCAGATTCTATGGAGTACCTTCACACATATAGCTGTACATCATGCATAGGTGACATTACACTGAACAAATGTATGCCAAGAGTTGGGGCACATCAAGGCTGAGCACTGCGTTGCGTTTCAAGGTTGGCAGGAGCAGGGACCATCCCCCGTTAGAATAAAAATTGACACTGACACAGAATTTTGGTTTAAGGTTAATGGGCAAAAATTTAGGCCACAACTTAATGATTACAGCAAATGTGAGTGGTATTGGCTTAGGCATTGGCAAAGGATTATATTGGACTCCTGCCCCCTTTGCAGGAAGTCAGTAAGGGTAAACTACCCAAAGAGGAAGCCACATCAGGGGAACCCACCTGTAGCTCTCCTTGGTGTTCCCAGAGGCCTGGCATGGCCCTAGCCCCTCAAGCGGACTTCGGACAGGATCCAGGCCCGGGATTCCTTTAATGGAATACCCTTGGTCCATGGAGGGGCAGGCGATGGCCGACCTCCCCTCCCCCACTCATCAATAAGCCAATGCCTAACCGCCAAACCTTACAAAGTTGTGCTAAGAGGTAGGCGAAAACCAAGTGGCCAGTGCCAATCTGTTAGTTTCTGTTTGCCACTGTGCAGTGCTTTGGAGTCACAAGACTCTGTTTACATTCCACACATTCCATACTGTTGGAAGTCTCACGGGAGACGGATGTGACATACTGGTTTCCTGTTCCTTTGTTGTTCAGTTGCTCTCTGCTTTCATAGAGAGAGGATGTATATTTCTTTGCTGTCTTCGTAGTAAGAAATAAAGCATAGCGATGTAGCCATAAATCTCATCACTTCCCTGTGCTGGAAACTCTGCCGGATGGGAATGTGCCTGAGGCCTGATCAAAGGCTCAAGTCGTTAATCACATCGGGAGGCGATTCCGAAGGACTCGACCGGAGGAAAATGAGCTTTATCAGCTTGGCCGAGCGGAGATCCCGACAAATGGAAAAATTCCTACCTGTCCCCCGTCCCAAGACAGGCAACCAACCTAAGTCCAAAGCCAGGCCAGAGGACACCTAAATTAAAGGGCGGGTGTTCGGCAGTGTGAAGCAGGTGCCTGACACATGCCGTGCTTCTGCTTTTATACCCCCACCTCACGGTCACCCCACACAAAAGTGATTGGCCAAAAGGCCTGGGTGAACATGGTGCCACCCTGATGTGAAGGTATTACTCCACCCATGCCAGGTGGGGGGGGGAGTGGGTTGAGGGCCTTCCCGCAACCAGGACCATCTTTTAAGATGATCCCATTTGTCCCAATCCTCCCTTATCCACACATTTAGTGTATGCAAGGAGAATGTCTCAAGAATTTCCCACTGTTTGCAAGAACTTCGCTTCAGTCTTTAGAGGCATATGTCTCTTTGAGGCTCTCTAAACAGCTTATGCTTATTTTAAAATATTTTTAAAGAGTCTGAACTGCATTATAAAAGACTACAACTTTGGAAATAAATCTGTCTTTTATAGCTTCCTTCTAAGGCAGGCAGGCAGGCAAGGCAGAGGGTCAAATATATTTATTCCCTTTGAATATGTGTTGGGTTTTTTTATTAAAAAAAACTTCAGTAAGTGATTTTATGGACTGACAGGGTAAAACTTTGTGATTCGTTTTATTTAATCAGACCTCCACAACTTGTGACCTGTGGAGTTGAGTGCAGCCCACCAGCCATCTATTATGGTCTGTCAAGTGCTTGACAGTCCTTCCCCCTTTAGCAATGCCAGGCAAGCAACAACAGCAACAAAAACCCGGAAGATTTACAGAGCCCTTGGAGTGTCATTATAAATGGCTGGTGGGTTGCATTTAGTTTGATTCAGGCCTTTTTAAAGGTACTGTGATGGGGTTGGGGATGTCATCTTTGAGCTCCAAGCCTGTGGTGTGATATCCGTAAGATAATATTCTGGAGAAAGAGATGGGTAAGTGGTCAAACTAGACTTCCTTTATTTTTTTAAGATGATGACTCTAGCCATGTCTGTTTAGTCTCTCTTTGCATGACTAAAGAGTAAAGGTGACTGGTTGCCACAGAAACGAACAAGGAACAGTTTTTCAGTTTGAATTTGGACAGAAAGAGAAGGCTGAATTTTCCTGCTTGCTGGCATGAAGCAGATTTGGGGGAAGCTATAAGGAGATGCTGCAACTCTGGGGGAATCCAAAACTCTCTAGCACTCATCTGTTTCCCTTTGCTAAATCTGTATTTTTTATAAGCAACATGCTAAGGTAAAGGTAAAGGGACCCCTGACCATTAAGTCCAGTTGTGGGGTTGCGGTGCTCATATCACTTTAGTGGCTGAGGGTGCTGACATTTGTCCTCAGACAGCTTCCGGGTCATGTGGCCAGCATGACTAAGCTGCTTCTGGCGAACCAGAGCAGCACACGGAAACGCTGTTTACCTTCCCACCAGAGTGGTACCTATTTAACGTGCTTTCAAACTGCTAGGTTGGCAGGAGCAGGGACCGAGCAATGGGAGCTCACCCCGTTGTGGGTATTCGAACCGCCGACCTTCTGATCGGCAAGCCCTAGGCTCTGTGGTTTAGACCACAGTGCCACCAACATGCTACTCCAAATCAATTTATACTATAAATCTCCAGTCCTCTCTCCACACAAGCAGACTCCTAATGAATCAATTGGCTCATGTAATCTGTAATTGCTTCAGGAAGAGAGAAGCATTGGCACTACTTATAGGAAGGGATGGATTGATCCTGTGTGACGCGTTTCAGGCACATGCCTGAGGCCGGTATGCTTGGTTCCCAAATTTAGGTTCACAGCTCATAGCTATGCATGGAAAAAAAGCACACATCTAGGAAATGGCCCCTGCAAGACGTTCACTGAGCCTGTCACTGAGATGCATCAAAGCACATAACTTGTGGATTTTGCAGAGATAATCATAGCTGCACAGAATGGTGAGCAATATCCTTGTCATCAGGGGCTATGGAGAGGGAGAGTTCCAGATCTCATGAAGCTTAGCACTGCAGTGCCAGCCCCAACCCAAATTATTATTTTTTAGGTGGTGGTTTCTGTAATGCTCATAATACACTCAGTTTGACTGGCACAGTTAATCTGTATAAAAGGAATTGTTTGAGATGCCTGCTTTGTCCAGTATTTCTATTTCCTTTAATATGATATGGGTAGACAGATCCTGAAGCTGAGGCTCCAATACTTTGGCCACCTCATGAGAAGAGAAGAGTCCCTGGAAAATCTTTCCTGATGCTGGGAAAGATTGAGGGCACAAAGGGTGAGATGGCTGGACAGTGTTCTCGAAGCTACTAACATGAGTTTGACCAAACTGTGGGAGGCAGTGGAAGACAGGAGTGCCTGGCGTGCTCTGGTTCATGGGGTCACAAAGAGTCGGACATGACTAAACAACAACAAGAATTATTTAGCCAGTCACCTAACTGTGTTGCAGGCTGCAGCAGAACTATGGGAGAGGTGGAACCCTTTTAGAATTTATCTGTGTTCTAGGATGTCGTGTCCTGCTTAGTAGAGAAAATTAGATCTTCATCTAAGAAAAGTAATTCCCCCGCTTACAGCTAAGACAACTTGCTTGCTTTGTAAATTGAGAGGTAATGGCCCCCAACACTCTTTAACAACCTGAGAGTCAAAATTATTCTTTTAACAATCACTTGGCTCCTTTGATAATTTTTCTCTGTGTTTGTCTGCACCAAAGTGAAAGATGTCAAATCTGGTATGATGTAAAAATCTATGGGGCAGGTCCTTAGAGTAGATCTTTATAAATAACTCTACGGAAACTTTGTAGAGGCTGGTCCATTAGGATAAATGGGGCACTTGCCCCACCAGCCTGAGCCTGTCCTCATGTTATGCTAGATATAAATTTCACGATAGGTATAAATAATTTGATGAGTCTTGAAATCAGTGGGAGGCACACTTTCAAGTTGCTGACAAGTTTTTGTGAGGTACTACGTCCTACTTAGGATAAGTATCTGAGGAAAACCAATGTTTCCAGGCAGTATGCTGATAATCAGCAGCTGTGCACAAGCATTTTGTTTTCAGAGCTATAACTAATCTTTATAGAGTAAATCTTTCTGCATAAAACAAATAGGTGACTGAAAAGTTGCCTTATCCTGTTGGTCGTTTCCTCCAGTGCTTTCAATAAAACTCTGATAAGGATGTGGAGGACGTTTCTATTATTTATTTCTCACTTCTATCTGTCTTTAAATCTTGCTTTTCTATTCCATACTAAAATACAGGCTGCTTTGTATCACTGGTATTCTTAGAAAATTTGGAGGAAGCAAAACAGCCAGCTGCCCAGGAGAAAGACAGAACTTTGAAGAGAGAACTGAAATAGATTTCCTACTTTAGCTGACTCCCCAAAAGAAGGATTCTGCATGGACTGAGAACTGTGAAACTTATATAAATTGGCCAGCCCATGACAACTGGGTCTTCTGATGCCTCTTTGTTCCATATTCTGTCTTTCTCTATTGTTCAATCTACTGAGGGAGGTGGATTTTTTCAGTAATGGAACCCACCTTGTAGAATTTCCCATCTAAAGAGTTCTACATAGCCATCCCTCAGACTATTTTTTCACCAGGTGAATATATTTTGATCTGGGATGGCATTTTTAGTTGTTTCACTTTAGTGCTGGTTGTCTATAGGTTTTCCAGATAGTTTGTATCACTTTGAGTGAGATTCCTTTGGAATTTAAATTATCTAATCTATCTATCTATCTATCTATCTATCTATGAATGAATGATTGTTAATTTGAATATTTCTTTTAAGCCTAAACACGTCCTTTGAATTTGCTTTCTGCAAAACAATTGCTTTCTTATTTCTTGAGTTTGGGACAGCCACTATTTTAGGTTCAGGTGAAAGCAGGATAAATTCTGTAGATTCTTGATTGAAGGTGGTTATTCCTTAGTGTTCATTCTGTCTAATCAGATATGGCATTTTTTGAGACAGTTTTAATTAAAAGTTTCGACTTTAGTGCCAGTTGCATGGACATTGCAGTAATAAAAATTGCATTTATCACATTCTGTTATTAACAGAAATAGCAATGGCTCCTTAGATATCAACACAGTGCATGACTGACTGAAATATATTAATTTGTTTTGATTTGGTGCTAATTCTCCAGTGAAAAGTCTGAGGTCATAATGATCTACAGAAAATACTCTTTAGGCACTTCTTGATAAAGACAGTAACAATGGAAAATAACAACGTGTTTCCCTAATCTATACTTCTCTGAGGTCCTGTCCGCACCATACATTTCATGCAGTACTGTAGCACTTTAAACAGTAATGGCTGCCCCCCAAGAATTCTGGGAAGCATAGTTTTTTAAAGGTGCTGAGAGTTATTAGGAGACCCCCTAGTCCCCTCAAAAAGCTACAATTCCCAGAGCTCCTTGGGAAGAGGGGTTGATTTTTAACCCGTCTGAGAAGTGTAGACTTGACTTTACTTTTGCATTTTAAAAAATGGTGGAAGAGTTGATCTCGTGGTACATCCAGTGGTGTTAATGGACAGAAGGAAAGAAACACATAATTTGATTTATGAGGAATGCAACAGTGAACTGGCAACGTATTTCAGGGAAAAGTTAATGAAAACATTTCTGTTATTACATTCTTAAAGGTCTTTCAAATTTAAATAAAACTTTTTTTTTTTTAAAGGAGCTCACCTTGCAACATACTTTTTAATTTTGAAAAAGTCAAAATCATATTTAGCATGAGTCAATTCACAGAATTTGGTAATCAAACAAAGCAATCCAAAAATAAAGGGGCAGAAAAAGCTTTTCATTACATTGAAGGTCAAGGACATTTTCAAATACCCCTAAATGCGTGTGAGAAATATTGAAATGTTTAACTTTTTGCAAATCAAAATGTTATTTTTATGCTTTATTTAAAGTTAATTAATTAGAGAATATATGCTCTTTCCTGAAAATATCAGAAATTTCCATCCTCTGAAGCCATAACTTTGTCTCAAGAGCACAAACTTTCCGTGTGTAACCTGGCAGCTCTGTGGAATTGGAATATCAGAAAAGGTAGGTTGGAATGTCATCTTCCAGGGCAGTGAAAAGGCCCTTGTTGTTGTTTAGTCGTTTAGTCGTGGCCGACTCTTCGTGACCCCATGGACCAGAGCACGCCAGGCACTCCTGTCTTCCACTGCCTCCCGCAGTTTGGTCAGACTCATGTTTGTAGCTTCGAGAACACTGTCCAACCATCTCGTCCTCTGTCGTCCCCTTCTCCTTGTGCCCTCCACCTTTCCCAGCATCTGGGTCTTTTCCAGGGAGTCTTCTCTTCTCATGAGGTGGCTAAAGTATTGGAGCCGCAGCTTCACGATCTGTCCTTCCAGTGAGCACTCAGGGCTGATTTCCTTCAGAATGGATAGGTTTGATCTTCTTGCAGTCCATGGGACTCTCAAGAGTCTCCTCCAGCACCATAATTCAAAAGCATCAATTCTTCGGCCATCAGCCTTCTTTATGGTCCAGCTCTCACTTCTATACATCACTACTGAGAAAACCATGGCTTTAACTATACGGACCTTTGTTGGTAAGGTGAATTACTCTGATTTTGTATAAAGGAGAATCATAGGTGACATGAATGTCATCAATGTTACTCAAACAAAGAAATGAAACATATAAAAATCCATAAATATAAGTTTCTAACCCATCCCTAAAATATTCAGGGCTATTTTATGCATTAATTCTTTCCATGCACAGAAGTCAGTAAGTGTTCCTCGGATCACTGGAGGCTATTCCATTAGGTCAAGTGGGTCACTGCCCCACAGACCTTGCTCTGCCCCTCATCCAGCCCCCACCTGTCTCCCTTCCTTCTTCCAACCTGTTCAGGGTGTGATGGCACTACCTACCACCACCCTCTTCCTTAATCTCATTGTTGCCCTTGTAGAATACAGCAGATGGGCACAAAACCAGAATGGGATGCTTTGCCTGGCATTGGTCCTGGCTCCACCTTCCTGTTTTGGATGTGTCAGTTTTTATACATCACTTTCGAAGACAGGCAGACTAATGCCAGTGTGCTGGAAGAAGCCAAGACCATCAGTATCGAAGCAATGATTCTTCAACATCAACTTTCTTGGACTGGTCATGTTGTGCGGATGCCTCTTGGTTGTTTTTTTTTTTTTAAAAAAAAAAGAGCCAACAAATTATTTTTCATTCATTGGCTCTTCTTACATTATTTGCTGCTACGTGCTTATAAACAGTTGTGTGACGACTTTTCTGGAAAAAGCAATATACGAAGTATTTAATTTATTATTATTTTGCTGTCTGTAGCTATTCTTTAGGTGCTCACCTTCAGATTGTCTAGTTTTGCCTCATTTCCTATAGCCAACCTTGCCAAATCCAGGATGTTGGCCATTTATTTGGGAATCCACCACTAAAGCTCTTGGCTTTGTTATCTGCCTGGGATTGCAAAAATATAAAACAGTTTTGCCAACTACTTGGCAGGATGAAATATATTGCTGGCAAGCTGCATTTGGCTCTGTGTATCTTGACCATGTTTGGCCTTTCTCTACACCTTCTCTTGTTCTGCCAATGAGATCGTCCTCAAAGTTGCTGACTGTGGCATGGCTTCAAATACTGCCTGTCTATAATCAAAAAACAAAATATATGCCATGCTACTTTGTGTAGGTTTTAGATGTATAGAAATTCTGTTGGTTGGTTAGAGCGGTTGCAACCTAAGTGGAAGCAACCCAAAGGAGGGGGAAGTGTTCTTACATCTAGTTGAGGACCATCTGAAGGACACTAGGCTGCTCTAGACTGATGCTTAAATAAGGCTGCAGCTCATTCTGGAATGACTAGTAGCTATTCCTCCACTGAGGGAAGCATCTTACATTATTTAACTAACAATGGTTCAGATATCATTGAGCAGCCTGCAGCATAGCATAGAGTTCCAAGATTATGAGGACAATGATGACACAAGCTTCTCAGGAAAATCAAGATGGAATCTTGGGTTTTTGCTAATTTCCTCTGCACTCCATCCAGTGGGGTAGCATGGGTTGCCTGAGCCCGGGGCAGAATGGGGGTGGGGGAGTAAAACGGATAAAGTACACATGATCATTCAACTGCCCAATGGCATCTGTGTCTCTCAGGAGATTGCAGTCGTAGAGGTAAGAAAATAAGAGTCATTCCGTTGTCTGGAGAGGTCACTTCCTAGTTTGCATGGAGAAGTTGTTTTCAGCTGAGCCCAGTGATGGAAGCACGTGGCTGTATTAAGGCAGCACCGAGTGTTGAAATTTTGCCAACCTGGCAATTTTTGGCCTGGGGCAACTGCCCCTGTGGCTCCCCACACTACACCACTGGCTCCATCTCCTTCCTGGTGTGCATGCCCTCATCCCTTGAATGTGAGGAGTCTGATCCCAGGGGCATGACAGTAAGGATTGCTTCTCTCTTCCTCGTTGTCCATTGCATCATCTCTGATTATTGCTTATCATATATATGGTACCCAACCTACTTTATGGACATTTTTGCTGTTGGGATTCATACCTTGCCTACCACAGGATGTGCACTATTCAGAATAATGATCTGGCTTGAGTGTTTCTGTAATAATTATCTGCTGATAAATTATTGCAGCTGCAAAAATTACACGTGCATTCATCTGTAACGTGGCCTATTAAATCCCCTGGCACAATGGATCATGATTTAGGATGGTATAATTCTTTTTACTAATGATTGGCTTCAGACTTTTTTAAAAGAGCTTGTTAGCGGAGACGCCATGAATTCATAGATTCATGGAACTATAAGGTGTTTTACAAGGAAGAAGAATGACCTTTTTAACTTGAGCATGGCCTTGTATACATAAACTACAGTAGGCTAACTGGTTGTATAAGCAGTGAGACTCCTTGGCTGAAACATGAGGGCTTTTCTATGGTGGAAGACAATTTCATGTGCAATAGGCTAAATGCTGCTGTTTCCTGTAGACTGATTATACATCCTAGCCAATGGTGTTATACAATTTATTTTTAAATTTATGCCTGGCTTCCCATCCCAAAACACATCTTAAGGGTGATAAAGTCCAGTTTGCTCGCCTCTATGCAGCAGCAGCCAATTAACAGTGTCCCATGAACCAAATCACCAGCAAATTAGTGTTGAAAATTTAAAAATTAAAGATTCTTAGCGTGTAGCTTCAGTTATAAAAAGCAGGGAATAAGATGAGAAGTTCACCTCCCTTTTCTTTATGATTCAGTTGCCAGCTCCTCTGTTGTTGCTGCCAAGATGTTTTTATGACATTAACTTTGACATTTTCAATAATTGCCCATTACACAGACACACACATATGTACATCCTGCAACTCTCCAAAATTAGTTCAATGTGACCTACAGATAATCTACAAAACACATATAACTGAATCAGATAAAAAATCAGAGAAGCTTTTAAAATAAGCCCAGCAGTGTATAAAAGTGTCCAGATGGTTGGAACAGTTGATTAAAAATATTGAAATATCAAATTGGCAACATTAAAGCAGATGTTTGGGAAAAAGAAAGAAATGT